TCTAATTTGAATGTGATCATTGTAAAAAAAAAAAAAAAAAAAAAAAAAAGAGCAGAAAGGTGGGATCATACTCCTCAGGCTGGATGGGCGCAGCCCTCATGCTATTCTTATGCTGGAACCCATGCCCACGGGCTGTCAAGGCCACTCTCCCAAGTGACAGTCTGCGTTCTTTTGCTTAACTTCGTCTCTTTGACACTACCTTGATCCTCTAACTTTCTCAGTGTCCTTTTAAAAATATTTGCTATATTATCATTATTCAAGAAGCATATGCCTTTTGAAAATAATTTAGAAAACACAGTATAGTATATAAAAGAAAAGCATTATCAAGTATCTTACCAAGACATTGTAATCTTAGTATCTCTGTGTCTATACTTTGTATACATATGTGGATATAGGTATGTATACATACATAATAGTTTCATAATATTTTATCAAATGTACATGCATGTATGTACCATTATTTATGTAAGCATCTCAGCCTTGATTCTTAGTTAATAAATATTTGTTGTTTGGTTTGTTTTCAAAATGTATAAAACCATTCAGTGAAAATCCTTGACTATTTATCTTTGTATATTTGCCCAGTTTTCTATATGTGGAACTGATACTCATTGAAATATACTTTTTAAAGGTTTTTAAAATGAATTGATAAATTACTCTTTGGAAAAGGTAAGTCAACTTACTCTCACCAGCAGAATGTAAGGATGTACCTTTCTTATACCTCTGCCAACAATGAGAAGTAGCAAGCCTTTCTTCTTTAGCAAGCTTATAGAAAAAAATTAACTTTTTTTCACTACTGGAGAAGGAGAATATCTTTTTATCAGTTTATTAGTAAGATGACCCTATAACTGGTTGTCCAGTGTGGAGTGTTTTAATAAAGAACTGGGGCATTAAATGGAGGGTAAGGAAATGAACCCATGGCCACACTGCTTCTGCACATTTGTATTTCTTAGTTTGGTACTAACTTGTCTGTAGCACTTTTATTGTGTTATCTCTTCTTTTTTAATGATTATGCAAAGATCTTTTTATAATTATAATATTAGTCTTTGCCATACATGTTAAATATATTTCTCTAAATAGGTTGTTGATTTTAATTTTAATTAAGTAATAGAAATACAGTTTTTAAAGTTTATTTTAGGTGTCTTATTAAACTTTAATTCACAAACTTTAATTAACTTTTTTGAGACAACTAATTCACACACAATTTTAAGAAATAATACAGACAGATCCACTTTACCTATTAGCAGGTTTCCTCCACAGCTGGGTAGCAGGTAAAGTGCAATGTCTTCCACAGCGATAGTATAACATCACAACCAGAACAGTGGCCTGATGCTCATTTTGCCCATTTTTACAGTTCATCCACCACCCTCTTGTCTTGCCTCATCTGAGCAACTACTAATCTGTTCTCCATTTCTATAATTTTGTTATTTCAAGAGTGTTACATAGATAGAATCATAGAGTGTGTAACCTTTAGATTTTGTTTTGTTTTGTTTTGTTTTGTTTCACTCCACATAATGCTCTGGAGATTGATCCAAGTTATTTATTGCACTTATTAATAATTTGTTCCCCTTTGTTACTGAGTAGTATTCCATGGTTTGGGTATACCATAGTTTGTTTAACTCATAGTTGTCACTATGTTTCATTTTAGTCATTCAGATAGGTGCCAGGCATGGTGGCACATGCCTGTAATCCCAGCACTCAGGAGGCTAAGGTAGGAAGATCGTTGTGAGTTTGAGACCAACCTGGGCTACAAAGTGAGCTCAAGGCCAGCCTGAACTGCATAGCAAGACCCTGTCTCAAAAAGACACAAAAAAAAAAAGAGAGAGAGAGAGAAAAAAATAATTCAGATAAGTGTGCAGAGCTCTTTTATTGTGACTTTAATTTTCATCTCCACCATGGCTATTCAATTTGCATATTGCTTTATGTGCTTATTGCCATTTGTATATTTTCCTTGGAGAAATGTCATTGTATTTTGCCCATTTTCTAATTGGGCTGTCTAGTGTCTGCACTGTTTGGTTTTTGGGAACTCTTTGTAAATTCAGATATTAGTCCTTTCTTACATACATAGCTTGCAAATACTTTGTCCTAGTATGTAGCTTTTCTTTTCTTCCTCTTAAGAGGATCTTTTGGAGAGTGAAGAGTTTACATTGGCAAGGCATCAACTGTTCCTTCTGTGTGCTTTTTTGTCAAGGTTAGTAACCCTTTGCCTTGGATCCTGATGCTATTCCCCTATGTGGTAGCCACTGGAGCAACTATTCACCACAGCAGTAGCTTTCTCCAAAGTAAGTAGTCTCAGAAAGACAGGGAGAGTGTGTGCCCAAGAACATATGCCCAAGACAAAGCCATGGTGTCTCTTATAACCTACTCTCAAAAGTTATTATAGTCTCATTCCTGCAGTGCTCCAGTGGTTGTATAGACCATTTCTGGTATCATGTGGGGAGGGACAACACAAGGGGATGCATGACAAAGCCTACCCTACTGCACATGAGATCTAAGCCAAAAAATAAGCTGTACTTTTAATATCTGGGAACTGTTTGTTGCCTCAGTATAGCTATCAAAATCTAGTCTCTATGAAATTTTTACAAGTTTTTTGAACTTGCTATTCTAAAAGGTAAAGAACAAACCTCCTTTACACTCTCTTTGATTTTCTTACACTCCTGGCTTCCTCTTGAGACTGGGAACTGACTGCAACCTAAAAACTCCTGCACTATGGACAAATGTGATATGCTTTGGGTCCTTAGCCAGTGCAGGCAGCATCTCCTTCTGGGGCCAAAGTTCCAAAGCTACCACAGCCCAGGGCATTAACTTCAGAATCTGTGCCAGGAAGGACCATGATTCTAAGAGGAAAGTGGAGCTAATGTAGCTTTTTTGACAATGGAAAAACTTCACCACTATGCACCATCTGAGTCAGTTTTCTTGAACTGACCCAGCCATCCAAGGCACTGTTAGTTCCTTTTTCTCAAGATGCCAGAACTCCATCCTGCTATTCTACCCTTAACCCCTTAGATGTCTGAATGACAGGAAGAAGATTGCCAAATGTAATATAAGATACTCAGTTAAATTTTAATTTCAGATAACAGTAGAATTTCTTCATTATGAAAATATCTTAAATATTATGTAAGATACATTCTCGCTAAACAATACTCACTGTGTACATGAAATGCAAACTTAACTGTGCACCCTGTGTGTTTCCTTGTTATATCTTGGAATCCTGAGTGAATGGAGCCTTCCCTTTCACTCTTCATCAGCAGGAAGAGGCGAGCTCGAATGGTAGCCCTGGCCAAATCCAAGAGCCCTCCAAGCCTGGCTGTGCTAAAGGACGGGCCCATGGAGGGTCATTTTGTGTTGGTTTGGAGCTTATTTTTGCAAGGGGAGACAATATAATACAGGACACATAGTTTGTAAGATTATTTACAATAATCACCCAAAGAACAGTATACAAAAGAGTACAGGAAATCTGTCCACACACTAAGACCAAGAAAACTAGCTGAGGGCCTGGATCCCACAGAAATGTCCTGCACAAGTCCTGCTGAAGACCTAGAGCTCCTAACGACGTCTCATGCAGTCCTGTTTCATGGATCTGCTCTGGGAAGACCCAAAGGTCAGTGGTGGAATCTAGAAAGTCTGTGCCAGCAGGATGAATGCTCTGTGCTAGCAGGCTGAGGGATCTGCATTGGAGCCAGGAAGTGATGCTCAGAAGAACCAGAGCTCCCCAGAAAGTTACCACAGCCATCCTCAGCAACAGTGAGGTCCTGAGCTCCTCCAGTGATCAAGATGGCCAAGTTCCCATCAGGAAAGCCAACGCAGCAAGCTTCTCTAGGAGACTGGCAGTGCACCATCTTCCTCTCCAGGGCCAGGAAGTGTTGCTCAATGTGAGGACCAGAGCTCCCCAAAAGTGAGCCAAAGCCATTCTCAGTGCCAATAACATCCCGAGCTCTTCAGAGGATGAAAACAGCCAAGTTCATCAGGAAAGCCAGCATGATGAGCTCCTCCAAAAGAACCAACAGCTTCTTACAGATTCCACTAGTTCCCAACAGCCTTTCCTCTGCTCCCAACAGCCTCTTTAGTTCCCAAAAGCCTTTCTTCTTCTTCTCCAGGTCCGCCTCTTATGCTGCTGGCAACAGTCCCCAGGTGGGCCTCCAACACCCAGCACTCAGTTCAGCTGGGGGTTATAAGTTAACCACGTTATCAGCCCACTCCAGTCATGTACGTGGAAGTTTCCCAGAGTGGTCTGGATAGCTTTATTTGCTGCCCCACCAGCACCATCACCTGATACAGGAGCAAGCCAATACTTCCCTCTCAGCCCTACATCCTTAACTTCCGTTCACTGTACTTACACTGCTCATGCTTTGCATGCACATTGTGCTCTCATTTCTTCTACACATCCAGACTCCATGCCAAAGGGGTGACAGAACCACACGAGGTGTTACCTTGTGCCTGTTTCCTTATCCTCACAACACCACTTCAGCCAACTGCTGTTCCTGCTATCCAAATGAGGAAGCTGAGCTTCCCAGCACCACAAAAGCAGAGGGACTCAGGGAAAAGGTGTTGCCTAAGGCCCAGGGTTAACCATGGCCAAGATTCAAATCGTTTGTAAAGATGAATAGCTTTGTGACTGTCTTGGAGGTTTCACTGGCAGTCTCTGCCCACGAGACGCTTAGCTATCACTCCTCTCACCCCTAGCTGTCCCCCTGGAACATTTAAGAAAGCAGAATCTCTATGAAAGGAGAAAAGAGGGGGAATTTTCTCCACCAGGATGGTGCCACAGAACCTATGGGATTTGCTATAAGCACCATGAGGATCAGTACATCTACCATAGAAACAAAGGCTCAAAAGGTGAGAAAATCTGAAGAAAATGGATTACAGTTTGCCAGCCCTAAAATCTGCTCAGTCCTCATAATATGCCGTAGATCAGCAGATTCAATTTGAATGCAGACTGTTAACTTGGAAATGAAGTTGGATGATGCAAAGTGCCTGTTTTTGCCTAGAGACCATGAGCTCACCTTGCTCTTGCTCCAGACTGCAGGTTCAGCAGGGGCAGCGTTCTCCTCTTTGGTGACTTGCGGTTTCCCTGCAGCAGGAGAGCAATGCTTTGGCCAGAGCCAAGCTTCCCACTGATGAAGGTCAGAGAAACTTTACTTCTGATTGCAGTGTGACTGCTGCCATCATCTTTCTTACTGGCCTAAATGCCCCATAGCTTCCAACTTTCCCCTTTGAGAAAGCTGAAGCTTACTTTACATCCTTCTAATTTTCAAATGAATTCAGAAAAGCATAGGAAAATAAACCATACCTTAGGCAGCTATAAGCCCAGGGCCTCAAAGTATCAGGCAGCTTGGGTCAAGCTTCAGGACGTAATTTCAGTTGTGTATCACCAAAATAGCACTGGCATGGCAGCCCTAGGAGAGAGGGGGGTATTCAGTTTGAATCTGATGATGGGAAAGAGGAGCACATTAGTTTGAAATTCTATTAATGAAAAAACAAAACAAAAAAATGTTCCTCCAAAATAAAAATACATACTGTTTAAGCAAATATTGCCAGTTAATATTTCCATTGTCATCTGCTCTGCCTAATGCCTTCGTTTCCCATGCTAGAGGATGAAATCAGCCCTCCCATCCCATAGGTTCAGTGGAAAGCTCCCCTCCACAGGCTGAGATGCCATTTTCAGCTGTGGAAAAGGAACAAATCATGTTATTGTCAAGGCTCTTACTGAGAACATCATGCTCTCAGCCCTACTGGCTTGGCCATAGTCAAAAGAATCAAACAAAGCTGCTGGCTATGAATTTCATCACTCTGGCGTGCCGAGTGGAGTCCTCCTCCCCCACCACTACTGCAATTCCACTTGCAATCTGAATGCCCTATAATTTGTTCCAGGAACAAGTTAAAATTCCTGCTCATTTCAATTTGTCAGCAATGCAAGTCTCTTTTTCTTTCCTTTTCATTTTTTTTTAGAAAAAAATAAATTCTGACTTTTGAAAGATCCAAGATAGACAGTTCCAGAGTCTAAAGCCCCTGAGGAGAAGGCAAAGATGGGATGATTAATTTGCAGGACTACAGGATATACAAGAAGAGCAAGTCTGCTGAGCAAACACCTAATTGCCTCTCAGGGAACACAGGCCTGAGGCCCCGTGCTGGACTCTGACCCCTGTCACCATTCCTGAGTGAACTCAAGGGAGTTGTGCTACTCAATAATGGTGTTAGGGTCTTCCTCTTAATCTCTTGCCTTGGGGCCTGTACCTAGTCCCATGTTCATTATACTGTCAACTTCCCCACCACTGAGGCAGAATAGGAATGAAGTAATTGTCCCATGAATTGGGGAAAAAATACAAAGAAAAATGTGTGTAAACAATGTTCTTTAACAGGTCATTGGATGGGAAAAAAATTACTGGCACCTTTACTATATTTGGAGCAAGCAAGTACGTGTGTTTGCATATATAAAGTGTGGTTTTCTTCTTGTTTTGTTATTAAGTTTTTCTTTGAAAAATACCATTTGCTAGAACAGTCTTTCAAGAAAAATCCAAAAGAAAATACTAGAGTCAATACCACATAAAAAGAAATTATTCAAAAGCAAAACCTTTGGAGGCAGAAATAATGAAATTTAAATTCTCATTCCCTCCTAGAGTCCACAATTTGAAACAAGAAACTTTAGATCCCTGCACCCTCACTTCTAACCCACCTTTGAGAAATGGGTTAGGAACTATCATAAAGCTTACTTGATGGGATAACTCTGAGCGTAAAATAAACAGAATATATACAGTACATAGCAAAGCACCTGCTATGTGGGAGATGCTTAAGAATGGTATCAACATTCATTTAGTGTTTATATGGTTGGCCCTGGCATCTGTATGTTATCCAAAAGACTCCTCGTTACTCCCCTTACAAGTAAACTGTAGGTAAAACTACCCCCATTGTGCAGAAAAGTGGGATTTAGAAGGCCTCTGCCTGAGGACCACCACTGTCCGGGTAGAGGCAAGATTGGAATCTGGCCCCTGTTCTCTACCCACTGTGCACCATACGAAAGCCATGAGCTGATCCCATGGCCAGATTTGACCTTGAGTGTGTTTGCTTTGACTCACTGTACGTTGTTTTAAAATTTTAACTTCGTGTTCAACACTTAAATACTGGACAATACTTCACAGTTCTAGATCTTTGGCTTCTGTCTAAAAGTCTGAAGCCCTGATCATTCTGCTCCTGCATTCTCACCTGCCTGTGATGGGCTGATACGGCACAACGTCTGTCAATTTTGGACAATCAGGAGTTCATGATGGCTCCCGTCACTCTCCATCCACTCACATTCACACCTCCACGGGCCCCTCTCTCTCACTGCCTTCCCGTCCGCCTCCCTCACGTAGGTCATCGTGTTGTTAGGCAACATCCTCATAGTCATATATGAGTCCTTTGTGGGGTGAACTGCCTCTGTTCATTCTTACTCCTGTTGAACTCTAGTCATTCCTACCTGATGCAGTACTGTGCTAACCTAGATTCCCTGGTGCCTCTGCCTGGACCGAAAAGTCTGGGAAGACCCAGAAGCACCTCTGACTGCAAGCACACGTCATTGGCTGGGCTTGCCTTTTTCCTCCATCTACATTTCTATGAAACTGTTTTAGCCCAGCCAGGGTCTCCACCCTCCTGCCTTATTGCTCACTGCTGTATTGCAGTTACCTCCCGCTTTGTCCTTCTAATCTACTCCCTACCACATTAACCCATTGCACACAACAACCTCACCTCTAGCTCAAACAAATCTTTCCTTGTGGTCAAGGTCAGCTTCTTGGGTATAAGGTCTGTGCAGTTACAGAGGACCCCTGCTTTAAAAGACCCCCTCACTTGTTTAATGCTCAAATATTGTATATTGAAATTTCTAATGATTTTTGATCATTAGAAACAATAATCATTAAAAATAATAGGGCCACCATATTATTTTGTACTGGAGTCAACAAGCATGTAGCTAGTCTTATTCATATTTCAATTTTAAAAGTTTGAATGACACCTAACCTTAGTAGTATTTCCCAGTCTGTTCTGAACAATGACACACAGAGAATATGATAATACGTGTATACTAGACTGAAGTCCCAGACCCAGCCAGCTCTGTGGGAGAAAGCAGTTGTCATGGCAAAATGTGACCCTCTAGCATCACACAAAGTTGCTGAGGACACCTGTAAGGTCGGCTGTGGCATTGCTATGGTTGATACATTGTGTCAACTTGGGGAGTCTAGAGGTTTGGCTAAGTGATTCAAGGGTTCTACCCTTCTGGGATGTTCACTGTGTCAATTTTAAAAGTTTAAAGGTTTAACTATGTGACTCAGCAGAGAGCCAGGTGCTTACTTTATATTCATCCTGAGACTGTACAAAAAAAGGCATACAGAGGGTGTGGGCGTAGAGGACCACCCCCACCCCCCAGGGCAGATAGGCTACATACAAAAAAGAAATTAAAAAAGGGTTAGCTGCTGGTTCTTCAGAGGAACTCCAGTCTTCACCTTCAGCTTGGTAGTCTCCTGGCTTCTGGTGCAGACTGTTTGGCTTCTGCCTGAGATTCTTCAGCCTTCTGCTATAAACTCTCCGGCCTTCATCATATATTCTTAAGCACTCTGTCACAGACCCGTCAGCCTCCTAATACAGACTTACACGGACACTGCAGTGAGCCCCAGGCCTGGGACTGGGCTCTTCAGTGTCCAGCATGTAGACACCCTCTGCATGCTTCTGCATCCAACTGTGTGGCTGACCATTATAGGCCAAACTTGTAATTTCTTATACATTTGTATATCTTGTGTTATATCGGCTTCTCTAGTAAACCCTAACTAATACAGGCATGCAGGAAAGGTCCCATGAGTTCACCTTGTGTGAGTCAGCTTTATTTCAGGACCTTCTCTGGCAGTCAGGCTGATAGAGCTTTATGAGTTCACATATCATTCCAGTTCTCATTTGCAGGACCTCATTAATGTGACTCTGGTGCTGGGAGTGATCACCCCTTTCTCAGTGTTTCCCAGCTCCTGCCCCAGACTCCTCCACAAAGCTTGCCCTGTGTATATCAGCCAATGCTACCTCATCTTTATATCAAATGATTACTGATTGCTCAGTCTGTACAAAGTACTGACGTAATGTGGGGCATAAGTTATACACACACGTTCCTGCCTACATGAAGCCTGCTGCAGTTCAGAATGCAAACAAGAGGCCTTTCAACCCAGTGTGACTGAGGTGTTATAGAAGTAAAGCAAGAAAGTATTCATTTCTTAGGATAGCTGTAACAAATTACTACAAGCTTGGTGGCTTATAATAGCAGATATTTTCTCACAGTTCTGGAGGTCAAACGTCCAAAATCAGTTGTCACTGAACCAAAATCAAGGTGTCAACAGAGCCACATTCTCTGTGGTTCTAAGGAAGAACCCTTCCTTTTTCCTTCCAAATTCTGGTGACTCTCCATCCTTCTTTTCTCTGTCATGTCTGTTCCATATGTCTCCTATACAGATACTGCACTCAGGGTCTACTGGACAATCCAGGGTGATCTCAAGTTTTTTAATTACATTGCAAAGACACTTTCTATCTAAGGTAAAACAGGTTCTGGGAATTAGAATGGTGTTATACTTTGGACACCTACTTCACTGCCCCTAATCCTGCACTGGAGATTTGGATGGGTCTCCTTGGATAAGACAACATTTAAACTAAAGCAAAGAGGGTGAGGAGTGAAAATGTTCTGGAAATAACATGTGTAAAGAAATTAAGCAAACTGGATTCCTAGAACTAAATGAAGCTAAACTGTCTGGAGAAGAATGTACCATGTAAAAAGGGTGAGAGAAGAAGTTAGAGAAGCAGTAAGTGCTCAATCCAGAAGAGCTCTGTAACCACAGACAGTTACCTGCACCACTGTAATGGGGAGGCATGGGAGGGTACTAAGCAATGGAAAGACATTATCAGATTTAGGGAGATTGCATGGTTGGAGTACAGGGAATGGTTTGAGGCAGGCCAAGGCTGGAACTAGGGAGACTGGTTAGGAAACGACCACACAGCCCAGGCTGAGCATCATAAGTTAGGTGAATAGTATGAAAGGGAAAGCAAGAGGAACACACATTCGAGAGGTTGAGGCAGAACCAGCAGGGTGTGGGAACTGACGCACCTTTGGTGGGGAAGAGGACGAGTGACACCAGCAGGAGCAACCACCTTGGGGGCCACCTCCTGAATTCTCCCCACTCCCAGGAGCAGCAAACAGGCCTCCGATTGCCGAAAGATCACTGGCCGCAGCCCTCTACTTCACAGAACAGCCGTTCACACCAGGGCTTCCCCACCCCTTTCCTGCCTGTTATGCTCCTCCCTTCTTAACTTCTTCCAGAAGCTTAGAAGCGTCTGAAATAAGTAACTTGGTGTTGGCTCACCCCCTAGGAGTCTCATTTTCTGTGAACAAGAGTCA